GACCTCTCATCCAGTGTCTGGTTTAAAGTCTGTAGAACTGGATAGAGTTGAGCGTAAGATAAAGAAGCCTTTATGCATCAAATACATGAAGTCTGTTGAAATAATGTGAATATATTGGCAGCAGATGACTATCTGAACCTAACTGTATGCACCACAGTGCTGTCAGAGGCATAAACAGATCATCAATCTGCACCACACAGTGAAGCCGCAATTATTAGTGGACCACTGGAGCAACACATAACATATGTGTCATCTCAGTTATTTTGTTTTTTGTGAAACAGAGAAGCTCTGATGAAGTTTTTGCATTATAAATTTTCCATTTCTAGTACATCCACTCCCCTCCTGCAGATAAGGGACCACAGTGAGTTTCTGCACACTTACCTTCCAATCTAGACAATAATCTGCAACATTGCCCTTGAGACCTTCACAGAAGCGAAACAGGAGGCAACACACAAAAGACTGCAGATCATGATTTTCAAAAAGCGCTCCGCTGGGTAGGACAATATCAGACCTCAAAATGGTGAGAACTCACCAATAAGTACACTCTGCTAACACAAAGCTAACCAGACCAGCTGCATTCATTTATATTCATATTCACCAGACGGACATGAGGGTAAATCTTCTTAATATAAAATAAATCTTCTTACTCATCTCTCTGCATTTTCAGACACCCAAATAATTAGTTTGAGTTGACCTCCTTGGTGTAACAGTATGATATCTCTGTCTGCCATATTGTAAACGACGTTTCTAAGAATAGCTTGGACATAATAGCTTAGCATGTCAATACCTAATAGAGAATGTGCATGGCATTTAAGGTTCTACTACGATGACAAAATTGTGAATTTTAAACTGTTAAGATAATTTTGAATGTAGTAAAATCTATCTCTCATGTTTCTTTAGCATACTTTTAGGATAATACATGTAATAGATGCTGTGCATGTGCATGACATGCAATACAAAAGTATTTTACTGTGTATTTTACAGTTTTGTACTGTTTTTCTAGAATATCATTCAATTTACATAAATAGACTGTGATTTCACATTTCAAATGCAAATTAATGTAAAATCACTGTAAATGTAATAAAACATAATTTTCTTGTTTGTTAAATGTATTTGTCTGTACACATGCATATTTAGATATATAAAATGATTCTTATAAACTTTTTTTTACATCAAATTATTATTATTATTATTGTTATTTAGGGCGATTGTGGCTCAAGAGTTGGCAGTTCACCTTGTAATCAGAAGGTTGCCGGTTCGAGCCCCGGCTCAGACACTCTCGGTCATTGTGTCCTTGGGCATGACGCTTCACCTACTGGTGATGGCCAGACGGGAATTGTAAAGCGCTTTGAGGGTCTCAAAAAGCACTATATGAATGCAATCCATTATTATTTAAACCAACTGTTAACTGCATATTTCTGTACATTTAAGTATTACTATTCATATTGCCACATTCATTGACCTTGTTTATAGGTAATTTCATTGTTTAATCACATTAAAATGTTCCTAATTTAATGTTGAAGAAGGCAAAATGCCCAATTAGGGCAACAAACTGTATTGCCATTACTGAAAATAACCGTATTTTCATGGGAAAGTTATTTTCTGGTATTGTTTTGGTATTGTTTTGGCGCCCCAGCTGCCGGAATATTACTGTTTTTTTAGGATTTTTTTTTTTACGGTGTATGCAAAGCTGTGATGGTTACAGGATAATTCCCATTTGGGGATGTAATGCTGCAGGTTTGTGCCAGCAGGATTACATCTCTTTATGTAGTAGGATGATGGTGTGTTATGTTCACTGTCAGACTGGTATTTTTTGGCTCACACTGCTGACACAAGTTACAGCACCATAGCTACATAACAACCCCCTGCAATGAAGCATAATTATGATTTAATATGACTGCAGTATGTCTTGCATGTTTGTTTATGTAGTCCAGAGTCTGTGTTGTGGAGGATGAAATAATAGTTTCATATGAAAGGTTACAGAGATACAGTTATCTGCAGGAATTTGCACATCAGCAGCGATCGTGAACACTTATTAGCCTGCAGAGTAAAGGCATGTTCCATTTATTAGAGAGCACCACATAGTGTCAGTTTCATTCGAAAAGACAAATTAGAAAAAAATGGCTGAAGCAAATGCACAGTGCACGTAGGAGGCACATTTACTGACAGGTGACATATAAACATGAGAACAAGCTTCTCTGACTTTGTCCTCACTCTCTTCAGACTGCATTTAGAGCTCATACACATACAGATACACATTAAAACCCCAAAGTGAAAGGCTAGCAAGTTTGGAAACTGTCTCATACAGTGGAGCGCTTTTAGTTAAGCCAAGCCTCCACACACAGGCTCAGCTGTTCAGCCTCTGTAGCTCAGAGGCTGCTCGGCTCCAAATATACAGATCAAAACAGCCTTCAGCACAAGTTCTCCTTGTCCTCCTCCAAACCAGGAGAATCCAGAACCTCATTTTATACATACTGTATATATATATATGTGTGTGTGTGTGTGTGTGTGTGTGTGTGTGTGTGTGTGTAATTATACATGCTTTTCTTGCATTGCTAATGTTTCTGAGTAACAATATTCGGTGTTAGTTCATTTCTGTGGATTGCTGAATACGTGATAACTGTTGATTTTACTGGTGCCTGTGCAATAAACACTCTGATCTTGTGACGTGACACTAAAGCAAAACCAGCCTTAAACAAATAGGAGCAATACAAAAATGACACAAAGCTACTAAAACAGCAGCTGGCAGTACTCTTGAGGATTTCTATAGATCTAATGGTTTGTTCACATGACGGGAGTTTATGGAGTGCCGTATCTTCATGCAGTCCTTTTTCTTCCATGTCTTAGTGTCCATGTGTCGCCCACGAAGGGCACTATCTGGTCAGCCAGATCAACTGTTATCACTGCCTGCCAAATGGTGTCACAGCCTTTTCCAGGATAGCAACAGTTTATTTAGTGCGGTGCAGCCCAGCAGCACTTAGTCAGAGGGTAGATGAGCCTGTTCCTCCACAGAAGTGGAAAAATCACCCGTGCCAGCACACCAGCAGCTAAACACAGCTCTCCGACTGATATTTATCATAAATCCTGGACGGCATCTTCTTTGCTCTCACACTTCTTTGAAGAGTGTTAAAAGGAACTGTATAAACTCCCATAAAGTGCACCGACAGATGCACTTTATCCATAAATGCCTCGGTGCCGTTCACAAACCTCCGACTGCTTAAGCGAAGGTGACAGCTATCATCTTTTATGTATAAAAGATTCCCAGACACGTTCCTCAGCTAGGTTCTCATACAGAATTTGTGAGGGCTTGCTCTGCTGAGTCCGGCTTTAAAGTTGAGCCTGTTGCATTGCTGTCCATCATCATGCCAAGCTTCTCCGTCCCATTCCTTGGTTCCTCCCTTTGTCTGTCCCTTTGCAATCTCCTCCTACGACTGAGAAAGAAACAATCATGGCCAACAATCAAGAGCCAAGAGCTAATCATCAGTATGCAGCAGGCATCCACTCTGATCCTTTACATGCATTCCATACAATGGTGAAAAAACATTTCATTTAGCCCCTCACATGTACACAGACTTACCGTGAACAGATGCAGATGAAAACAACAAGAAGAATTAATAGCACAAGCCCTGCGATGGCACAGGTAATTATGATTCTCTGTTTGCCTTGTATCTGCACCTCCAGATTTAGGTACTCACACCTGGAACCAATGTAACCGATCTGACACCTGTGACAAAGAACATAAAATGTGTTCCTAACTTCATTTTCGTGTGCATTTTTCTTGCAAGGCATCTGTTCGTCTACTTCTTTAACATGCTCGGACGGAACCCTGGAAGCATTGTCGTGCAGGAACATAAATGACAGGGCTTTCTTTTGCACCCTGTTGTTTGTTCAAATAAACATCCTTGTTGTCAGTCTCTTGTCACTGTCTCTGCTCCACAGCTAAATGATTTTGCAGAATGAGTTTTGCTTAAATTACATTTTGCACAACTTGGAAACAGAGTTTGGAAATCTGCGCCTCACCTGCAGGACGGTGCATCCTGGTCCTTTATGTAACGACACTCCCCATGGATGCAGTAATACTCAAGTTCCTCTGGGCATTTTGAGAAGTGCCCATTCGACTGACCAGTATCTACTGTGTCTTCTGGAGGAGTAAAATGTGTAGAAAGGGGAGGAGTCTAATCATTGTTAGCAAGCACGTATAGAAGCTCATAAATACAGAAATTAAACAGTGAAATTTGTCAGTTGTTCTATATAAAGCATAGTTTTGGTAAAATAGTCTACTCTATGATAATGCCTGTTACCATCAACAATGACCCTGTCACTATTACTAGGCATAAAATAGTCCCTTATGAAAGCCCTCGAAAAAACTACAACTTGGGCTGGTAGCTGGAGTTTGATCCCTTTAACCTGAGATAGATGAACTGTGTTCCCTTGTTACTTGTCTTTTTAAAGCTACTCAAATGCTTATATGTAGCTATGGAGTCCTCCAACTGTACTTATGGGGAAAATGTGTATGTTGCATATCGAAGCTATTTTCTTGATCTTATGCCAAATCAAAAATATACTTTGTTTAGAAAAAGCAAAAAGCCTTTTTTGTTCATGGTTTGAAAAAGTAAAGCACAAATTTTTTTATTAATATTACTATTTATCAAATTCTAATGTCACTGTCACTGATTGTATACAAAACAGATAGATATATATATCGAGCATATAGACACTGAGTGAAGTCAATGTGTTAGTGCCTTAACCCTGCGTTCTTTCTAATGGTCAACAGGGGGAGACTATTGCGACTGCCAAAAGAAATCAGATTGTAGAGAAGTCTTTGAGTAAATTATCCTACGTTTGATTTTGGAAAACATTTTCTTAAAAGACTCAATGTTTTAGAGCCTTCTTCAATACAGCATAATGCTTATTTTGTAAATTATGGTTCCAATAAAATGGTCACCGCTGAGAAGTCCTAGTGCCATGTGCTGTTCTTGATTTCAGGTATCGGTTGCACTAAAACAACTTCTAAGAATAAGCTGTATCATTACCTAATCAGCTCAGTCTCTACTTCAAATAGCAAGACCAAGTTCAAGTTAGAGCCCCCGCTGCTTTTCAGATTTCTGTCTTTCATATCGCCTGCAGTGTATGGCTGACACAAAAAGATTTTCTTTATGTGCCTAGTATATAGGCCTAATGGAGATTTATCAGTCACCTTGTCTAAATGAACAAATGTACCAAAAGCAAATGAGCTCATTTCTCCAAACGTCTATTTCTGTAACTGTGTCATGATCTTCTTTGATGTACTCCCTCACCTTCTGGCATGGCATGATGTGTGTATATATAGACTGTTTGTAACACGATCCACTGAAGAACTGTGCAATGCATGCCAGGAAAGGCCTGGTGTCATCGAGATCTCATTAGACACGTGTCTCTACAACTTGAGCTCCAGAAGAGCTGGGATGCTGTGCAACATCTCAATAATAACTGAATATGATGATTTGCAAATCTCCTTATTCCATATTTTATTCATGATAGGACATAGAAAACATATCAAATATACGAACCGAAAATCCTTTAAGAAAAAGTTTGGCTCATGTTGAATTTGATGGCTGCAACATGTCTTTAAAAAGTTGGGACTGGGCCATGTTTAACACCAGTCTGTAAACAATTGCAGGACTTTTGGAAAATTAATGTTTTCCCATTCTTATCTGATATGAAATTATAGCTGCTCAGCAGTCCTGACTCGTCTTATTTTCCATTTCATGATGCATCAAATGTATTCAACTGGTGAAAGATTTGGACTGCAAGCCAGTTTAGCCCTTGAGCTCTTCTACCATGATACTTATTGGCCTTGGGGTTAGGGTTAGGCTTTGCTTTGGAGACTTTTGACCTGAATGCTGATCATAACCAGATTGTCTTTGTCCTCCTTAATCTGGAGCGCACCGTGATCCTGTTTTACAAAAAGAATTTCAAATTTTAGTTTGTCTGATGACAAAACAGTTTTCCACTTGCCCTCATTTTAAATGAACTTTGGCTCAGGCTGCATTTCCGGATCATGTTCATGGCTTTTTCTTTGCACGACAGAGCATTTGTAGTTGGCACGGTGAACTGTGTTCGCAAACATTGATGTCTTGAAGTGCTCCTGAGTCCGTGCCAAAACGTTCCTGCCAGAATCATACCTGCTTTTAATGCAATACTGATTTTTAGCCTTATCTCTTACCCACAGAGAATTCTCCAGACTCTCTGATTATTTTGATGATATGATAGTATTATTACCGTAGATGATGAGATATTATATTAAAAGTGCTTTGAGAAATATCATTCTAAAATTGTTCCACATTCCACATTTATTTTGCAGATTGGTGAACCTCTGCTCAACTTTACTTCAGAGAAACTCTGCATAGGCTCTTTTTAAATACGTTATCGTGTTAGTGACCTATTGCCAGTTAACCTAATTAGTTATAAAATGTTCCTCCAGCTGTTTTTTTTACCACTTACTTTTCCGGTCTTGCGTTGCCCTCATGACAACTTTTTTAAAACATGTTGTTGCCATTAAATTCAAAATGAGCTCATATTTTTCACGTAGTAGTAAAATATTCCAGTTAAAAGACCCGACCTATTTTCGAAAATCATCCTGTTTTTGTTCACATTTTTGAAGCATCTCAGCTGTTTTGGAAATCAAGTCGTTTCATTAAAATTCTTTACAAAATAAAATGGGATTCTGTTTTCATCCTCTCCCTTTTCTCTATCACAGACACACATGATAAAACACACCCTGACAGCTGCTGGTTAGCCATGGAGATGAACTTCTGACCACCGGTTTCATATAACACTTCTTCTGAATACCGCTATCTTTACAAGCGGCTCTCATGACATTATCTTTGAATATTGAGCTTGTAAAACAATAGTGCTGCGACATCAATGAGAGCGCTTCACTTGTTAGCTGAAACACGAGACCCAGTTTTCTGTCATGACCTCAGTGCTGAAAGGAAAAATCTCATGTTACGAAGTTTAAAGAGATAGTCTGGGAAGTAGCTTTATTTGCTGTCTTGCCAAGAATTAGCCGAGATGGGGCAACCGATACCACTGTCACTTCGTGAGCTATAAAGCTAACACTAGCTGCTGGTTTGCTTAGCAAAAACAGTGGAAAACAGGACATAGCTAACCCGAACAAGTCTTTAGACCCTATAAAGCTCACAAATTAAAATACTACATCTTTAAAAAAAAAAAAATCACAAATCAAAGTGAAAAGCGGTGCTAAATAGTGTGTTTCAACCTGTTTCTGCGCTTTCTGCACACCTTAGCTAAACAACGGGGATTGTTTTATAGATATACAAACAAAGTCAGTGTTTTCGTTTCAAATCTTAAATAGAATCTATTAATTTAAATTCTTTTCAAACTATTAATTTGGACTGATTAGAGCTTTTCTATTTTAATTTTATTTTGTGTCTTTGTCTTATATTCATTTTAGTTTCTAGAGTGAAAGTGTAAGTTTTAGTCTTTTTTAAATCATTATTGTATAGAGAGCATAATTCAGATGCGAGAATAAGGAAATCAGTAAAGGTATTACAATAAAAACTCTGAACTTTCTGGAAGAAGTTCACATACAGTCTTCTAGATATCCACAGTCTCAGTAAGCATGTCCATCAATGTCTTATCAGCAAAGTCGTAATAAAAACTTTCACCAACAGATACTAAAACTAAGCATAATTCCTCAATATTTTAATTTTATTTTAGTTAGCTTCCTAAGTTCAAAAAATTATCTAAATTAATCTACATTTTTCCAAAAAAAAACACACACACACACACACACACACACACACACACACACACACACACACACACACACACACACACATATATATAGTAAAATAGATAGATAAATTTGTGCTATTGTACTTAATCTCATATAAAATACAACACCCATGTTATGGGTCTTATCTAGTGGTTTATTTCCCCCAAAATCCATCTAACAATGATGAGATTGCAGTTAAAATTTGCTTAATTACAGAAATTACTCAGCAGAGGTTGTTGACATACCTCTGTACTAAGGGTTGATACATTTTATATTGTGTATTGTATATTGTGACTCCTCAACAATATACTTTTCCAAGTGTGTCTCATACCAACATCTGTCTTACTACTTCTACTACTGAAAAAGTCAAACCAAAGAAGCAGTTATGACACCGTCACAGAAACGCCCCTTACACCACCTTTCCATATCTACCTGTGCAATTGTCTCTGTTGCCATGGAGATGACAGTCGGACACAGTTCCAGTGGGAGGCGCGTCTGTGGCATTCCACTCTGCCAGGCAGTATTTGCATAAGGTCAGAGCTGCAGCCAGGAGCACAAACAAAAAGCCAATCACTCACAACCAACGTACGTACACCTGCACATTTTAACCAGCGTTTAGCCGCATTGTACTTACAGGATCTGGACAAGCGATGACAGGACTTTTACTACTCTATAAACATCCTCTATTACTTTTCCTGGTGACTGTATTGGCAAATAATTGTTTTTTTAATATATAAACCTATAGAAAGGACAACGTCACAAACAGTTTCCAAAACTTATATTAAGGGAAGCCTGATTTGATGATGATTAATGATCACAGAAGATGCACATTCCTTGTGCATGAGCTTTTCATTTAATCATTAACCACAAGTGAAGCTTGTTGTACAAGTACAATTATTCCACAAGTTGCTTAGCAGGGAATTGCCCGTAAACTTGTTTTGGCTCCATTATTTTGATAACACATGGTTTTAATACCAGTCAAAACAACATAGAGCTATTCAAATGACATTTTAAAAACTAGATATGAGAAGAAAACTGGAACCGTACAGGACATGCATTTAAAACAAGAACTATTTACATATCATTTTAATATTATCCTTTTGGGTTTTTAGCCTTCTGCTTATGGACAATGAGAAAGAAAGGTGAACAAGAGAAAAGATCTTACCGATTACTATTCCTACATAGAGTCTGTGCACTTTGGCCATCTCCTCACTTGATAAAAGTTTTCATCCAGTATATTAAAGTTCAGTGTCATTAACAAACAAAAGTCAAACTGGTTCAGTCCTCTTTCAGGGGTCAGCGACCTTTGAAAAAGGTGTGGAAAGGCTGTGGAAGTTCCCCAGTGGTGTGTCGTATTGTGGTTCTTCATTGATGGTGGCTAATTTCATAATCAACCGGGAAAGCTTGAAGCTATAACCAAAGCACGTCAGCTCGCTGACTCTTCTGTGACTGACCTGAGCTGCTGGGTGTGAGAACAGAAAAAGGAGGCGGCACTGAAACCGAACTCCGATCCCCGCCCATACTTTTAAAGCTTTAAAGGAGAAGACAACTCCATTCAAGCTATTCTGTTTATTTTCTCTGTAGAGAACAAGTTTGCCTTTATACCTGAGGTTTGCTTTCTTAAGAATGAAATGACAGGTGGAGCATTCATTGACAATACGTGGCACCGGTTTAGCTTAAAAGGACTTTAGATTCTATTTTTAATTTTCCATTCCACTGTCCTTCCCTCATTCCCTGGAACAGAAAGCAGATAAATGTAGGTGGATGGGTAGGAGATAAAATCTGATAGTAAAATAGATGGCTGGAACAGCTGGATTCCTTGCAGGTCTGCACTGATTCCTGGAGAGTTTAAGGAAAGTGAAATAAAGTTTAATGTGGAAGTTTAAATGGTTGTAGCAACCTTCTTTTACTTACACTTTAAACTTCAGTTACATCATTTCATTTATTCATTTTACTACTTTTAGGTGAAAACTTTCGAAGAAAAAATAGAGTAAAGAGTTTAAAAAGAAAATAGGAGTAGTGGAGAACCACTCGTCATGGGAAGTCCCTCGGCTTATCGAATAGCATAGCTTTAAGGTCACATGATCCAAGCCTAACTATCAGCTTTATGAAAAGGGAAAGTTTTATTTCTAATTTTAAAAAGTGGAAAGGGTGTCTCAAAGCACAGCTGTTCACAGTAGAGAGGCCCAGTAGCTGAAGGCTCTTCCTTCCATTGTACTTTTGTAAACTCTAAACCTGACCAGAAGATGGTGTAATTTCACACTTTTCCACACAATAAGTGGAGTAGAGGTGGAGAGCCAGAATTCTTGCTGATTGCCAGGTGTTCAAATACTTATGTGCAGCAGTGCTATACAAATAATGTCATAAAAATTATACAATGTGATTTCTTAAATTATTGTTTAAATGCTGTGTGACACAGTGGGAATGCACCGACAATGTGAATTTCAGACCCCTCCATGATTTCATGATCGCAGAGTGTTCAAATACTTATGTTGCTCACTGTATATGTTTGAGTCTATATGAACTATGACCCTGTATGGATGAAAGAAAATCCAAAATCAATTCAAACTTTTGCACCCATTTCTTGTTTTTGTTAAAGTCATTGAAGATGTGTAATGCTGCACAATCATTCCACATTGGAAAAAAAAAAAAGAATAGTTCAAAGAAATCATTAAAATCTCAAAGTTATCATGATGCCGTACTTTAACTCCTTTTATCACATACAGTTTAGAATCACCAATTAACCTAACAGGCATGTCTTTGGACATGAGAGGAAGGCGGAGTAGTGCAGGCACAAGGAGAGGATGCTAACTCCATACAGAAAAGCTCCAGCTAAGATTCAAACTAGGAGCCTTCATCCTGTGAAGGCATAGCACTTCACAACCTTGCCACCTTTAAATCAGTTTAAACTGGATGTTTAAGCTGGAGACATGAACTTGCAGTCAGTAGCTACAGTGGCTTGCAAAAGTATCCGGCCCCCTTGAATTTTTCCACATTTTGTCACATTACAGCCACAAACATGGATTTCTTTTATTGTTGTTTCACGTGAAAGACCAATACAAAGTGGTGCACGCGTGAGAAGTGGAATGAAAATCATACATGATTCCAAACATTTTTTACAAATAAATAACTGAAAAGTGGGGTGCGCGTAATTATTCAGCCCCCTGAGTCAATACTTTGTAGAACCACCTTTTGCTGCAGTTACAGATGCCAGTCTTTTAGGGTCTGTCTCTACCAGCTTTGCACATCTAGAGACTGAAATCCTTGCCCATAAAACAATTACCAGCACTTCTAAAGCTCAGACCCATTTTATTTTATTTTATTTTTTTTTATATAAACATATATCTACACACTGACTGTAAATACATGCTTACATATGACAATAGTGTCTTAAATCCTTTTTCTCTGACACTCTGAAATCCAGACTTCTGCCTAAATAAACTGCAAAGATACACGAGAAATGAGAACTAGGAGTTTATTTAAAGCATCTGCAGAAACCGCTAAAGCCTTGTTTGCAGAGCAAAGGTTGCTAGCAAAGGAGGCATCATGACAGGAGAGCTATTGAGACTCGCCCATGCAGCGACAGGAAAAGGAAGTGATAAGGCAGAGCTGTCTCGTGACTGGCTAGACTTGTTTTAGGGAGATTAAACAGTTTCTTGAACAATGTAGACATATAAAAAAATAGAAGTTCTGTTTTAAAATAAAATATACAAATGAACTGACTAAACAGACAACGACTTATGTAAACTGTCGCGCACAAATACAATGAACAACATGGTTTTTATATAGTTTGTAAAGCACCTTCTGCACAGAGTGCATTTATTTTATTTTATCTAAGCATTCTCTTCAGTTGGAACATCCAAAAAGTTTTAAAAGGCTCAAAGGATAAATGAAAAGTGGCATTTTGTCTTTGCAGTTTTGAACAGGAAGACCCAGTTTCCTCTCTCTGGCTGTGTTCCTGACTTAGACTGAACATCAGGAAGCGCAGACGCCACGAGATTCCAAGGCATAATTTAGAGCTCAGCAACAAACATCCGCTTTGAAAGCTTTACAGATAATCACTGTAAGACTGTTTGGTGCAGAAATGGTGTTTTCACAGCACTTTGTAAAAGCAATTTAAAAGAAAAACTGAAAAGCCTGTACGTTCACGGGATGTGCTTTAATGTGTTTCACCAAAAAATTGATGATTTACAAAACTGTGTAAAAACATTTTTAGAAAAACATGAAATTAAAATCTATTACACTATTTAAAAAAACAAAGCAAAATTAATATCTTCTTTGAGTGGGATGCCACTTGTATCCACTTTGTCTTCCACTGCAAAAGGTGCAAAACCTTTTATTCCACATTTGAAATCGAGACGTAATAACAGGCGTTACAAAGAAACAAAGCTGCACATTTTATGGACCCTGACCTTCACACTATGGCACAAGAGCGTGGTTCTCTGAAAGGGTTGCTGCCTGTGGGGACTCCAACCAGCAAGGCGTCTTTTCCTGCGTTCTGCAGACAATACTGCTGGAGCTCTGCAGCAGCCTGGGACACCTGGAAGCAGAAACATAAAAATACACTCAGATGGTACAACTTTGTAACTCCCATAAAAGGATTAAAAAAACACACACACACAAATCAAGTGCAGGCCTTTTGTTTTCTAGGTTGTGCAAAACCAAAAACTGATATGTGTAACTGACACCCAGAGTTTATTAGCATTTACAAGAGCAGATTTGACAAATTTATAAATTCCTTCATTTAAAAAAACTAAAACATTCATAAGATAATATAATGCTTATAATACAGAATACAGTGATAGTAATACAATACATAATACAAAATTATAAATAGTTAAATACATTTATAGATTATTAGGGTTGTAGTTGAGGTGGCACTATTTTAAATTGAATATACTGATTACCCAGTTTATTTTTTTAAATTAAGTAATACTTAGTAAATAACCCAAATCTTAAAATTATTCACAATAAATTGGAACTTAGTAGTAAAAAAGCTAATGCAGCTTATATTTATAATCAGAAATCTTGAACTTTTTGGAGTTTTTGCATTAAAAATCATTTTTTGACTTAATGATTAATTAATGGTGTGTGTTATATTAATCTAAAGCATGTATGTATTCATTAAACTATACAGAGTGACTTTTCTGTAGTGTAATACCGTACACTAAGTGTTTTAAATAAAATAGATTAAACAATCTTATTCTAAATCTTATTCTAAAATTAATCTAGTTGCACTTTCCCAACATTCATAATGTACATATTAAACAAAATAGTTACATCAATCAACAAAAGCTAGTTTGTAGAAAGCAAGCAGTCGTGTTCTGTAAAGATGCCAGTTTTACCTTGATTCTTTCCACACTGGCCTCAAGCTTCAGTTGTTCTACCAGCTGTCGCATGTTGGATAAATTGGAATTGGAGGTCATGTTGTTTATAATTGTTTTGGGAGAGAAAAAGTCCTTGGGAAGGAAAAAGGGGGAAAAAGATGTCTCTTTAGTCTTTTGCTGTCTGCAGTTGCCTTTACTAATGGGCAGCAAATGCTGGACAGGAACAGAGTGGCCGGGTTTCTTTCCAAATGACCTCAGTGCACTCAGCTGAAGAAATAAGGAGTGATACAAACACACTGACCTCCCTGTGCACTACCAGAGACTTCATAGAAAAGTGTTGTAGAGATGTATTTTAAAAGGGAATTCAAGCTCCATTCACCCAGATTAAAAGTACTAGTATATTCAAAAAAGACTGTAGTCATTTTAATAGTGCGTTTCCTTAGAGATACAATTGAACCCCCCCCCCCCCCCCAGGAGTAATGATATGGGTTTTATAAAATATAGCTTTTCTCAAATATGGCACAAATACATCTGGAATCTACCATTAAATATCTTTAATGATTTTCCCCCAATGAGGCTTAGTATTAAGTAGCTTTATGTACATTAAGGTTTACATAAAATGTTATCCAGTACATCTCTGTTATAACAGATGATGTCATTGGTGACATTATTAATGAATCCTTTCATTTTTGTTTCGTGTTTTCCTCTGTTGTGTTTTAAATTTCTCTCCCTTCTGTTGTTTTTGATACAGAAGCTCTTTTAATAAATTATTACTATTGTGAAAATGATTTATCCTTTTCTGTCAGCGTTGCTTGTATGCATTAGTACTGAGACTAAAATATACTCTATTTTCGTCGTTTGTTTTGAACATGTAAATAAAAAGTAAAATTAATGAATAGCTTTCAAAACTACACTGAAGACACTGAGAAGTGAGATGAAGTATAAACAAGTTTATAATAATTTACTGATGAGTAATTATACCCCGTTTAATGCTATTTGATCATAATTAACCTCAACACACATACGCACATGTGATTTTTAAACTTCTTTAACGTTGTCTAGTTTATAGCTTTGCGCATGCGTACACCGATACCGGAAAGCGTCACGAGACGTCGTGCTTTACCTATCGCTATGGAGTAGTTACGACAACTATGCTAACTGACTGCTTCTTAATGCAGTGTACGTGCGCGCGTGTGTTTTACCCACGTGGCTAATGAATTACGGCGGTTTCTGCGTCCTCATTGGTCCGCAGGTGATTATCGGGATTGGCTGTAAGCTACTTTTGCGGAAAGGTAAACGGAAACTTCCCCGGAGAGTCCACACTTCTGAGCGTTGTGTTCAAAACTCGGCAACAAATATGAGCTAAACGAAACTCTGAACAAAACTCAAAGCAGCCGGACTTCAGCAGACATGGTGGAGGTATTTTCCGGACGCACACTCCTGAACAAGGACGGAGAGTTTGTGGATCCTGAAGAGGCTCTGCGGAACAAGGTGGTGGGGATCTACTTCTCCGCGGGATGGTGCCCGCCGTGTCGGGACTTTACCCCAATCCTGTGTGACTTCTACACGGAGCTGGTGGAGGAGAGGGATCCTCCGGCTCAGTTTGAAATTGTTTTTGTGTCTTCTGACAAGTCAACCGATGACATGGTTGAATATTACCACGACATGCACGGAGACTGGCTCGCTCTGCCTTGGACGGATGATTACAAAAAGTGAGTTTCATAATCTAATATTTCACATTTGAACTCAACGTAACATAATCAGGTGTTTTATTTATCTTATACCTACACAGTGCAGTCTGTACAGTCTACTAGGCAGTGATCCAGCTTATGTAAAACGCTGATGCGCGTCACTGTCGAGGATTAGGTTTAAGCGACATCAAGTCCAGAGTGTTCTCTTCAAAGTGTCCTTTATTTGTTTATTTTGATTTCCAGATCACGTGATTTGAGTTATTGGAGGGTTGCGTGACTAAATCAAAGTCAGATCCGTACACCTGTGAGTGCAAACTTTTCTCTCAAACATTTTTTTCTTAAATAAAAGCAGTTATTTATTTATTACATAGCTACTTTAAAGTCGAGTATCAAGTTGTTCAGTTTCTAATCTTGGATGGAGTTGCAGCTATTCTGTTCATTTCTTTTTCTTCCCAAAGTTAAAACTGGACTCTTTGAATGTTCTTAACCATACCAGTAGTGTGATTTAAATATATTCAGCAAAGCAGATGAGTATTGAAATAAAAACATCAAACATAAAAACATCCATGTGCCATTAAGTTAGAAGCATTTGAATGCTGTATCTAAGCAAAGTGAAGCTGTTTTTCTTACATTGTGTTTAGGTGTGTTGATTAATTGCAGCCAGTAATCCTCTTTTATTTGTAAAATTTGAATTTGTGAGATATCTGTTGCCACAGTTGCCATCAAACTGCGTTGTTATGTGCAAGAATCTCACATGTATTCATGGAAAACTATCAAGTGTATAATAGATTCTTTACAGTGGAAGAAGTGTCTTTTTCTAATAAAGGCGCTTCTTTGTCTTTTTGTCCTCTCGCAGTGAGTTGAAGCATCGCTACAAGATCACAGCAGTGCCCAAACTGGTGATCGTGAAGGAGAACGGCGACGTGATCACGGACAAGGGCAGGAAACAGATCCGAGACCGGGGCCTGGCCTGCTTCAGGTCCTGGTTGGACGCTGCTGAGATCTTTCAGAACTTCAAGGGTTAGGAAAATAGAGGGCCTGACGAAGCTAATAAAATCTTCCTGCTTTCCATTTCAGTGTAGCCGTCTGACAGGTCGCCAGATCACCGGACAGCTTATGTTTCTGTTAGATGAAGATCTGCTTGTTTTTAATTAATCTTCTGCCCATTTTCCCGTCACAGGTCGAACACCAGTAGTTAAAAATGCAATTTCAATGAAACATGAGAAAGAATAATCGTATTTAGATTCCAGTAATTCTTAAGAGCTGGTCTAATGATGGTTTTGCAGTTATTACTTGGGTATAAGGAGTCAGTCTTGTAGTGTAGTGGTCATATAGTTGGAATAATGACACCATCAGTGATTAGACTGGATTCATCCAGTTCTTTTTGCCACTGGATGTGAAATCTGCCTGTAATGTAAAGGCTTGACTGCACAACCAAACCACGACGAGGGCAGCGCTCTTATTTTTACTCCCAATACCTGAAATGGTAAGAAATGGTAGCTGATGAAACACCTCTTTATCTATGGTAAAGAACAATTGTGAAGTAGTGGGAAAGAAACTTCTCAAATCGCAGATCTTCTGTCATCCTATGCATTAACGATAAACCCTCAGGCACGTCTGATAGAGAAATGGACCATTTCATGTGACTAATTCAAGCCAGCTGCTGCCGTTAAAGTACATGTATACAGTTAATGCGCTCTTCAAACATTTAGCCAGACTTTGCCTCTGTTGAATATATATTTTGTTTCTATATTACTCACCTTTGTACATAAATGTAGTTCTATGTCAAGCTGCCTGTATATTTTTATATTCTGTTTTTAATGAGTTGTTAAGATGGGCTATTATTAAAAATGTAATAGAAGAAAACTATTCTGTTTTAATTATTATTATTATTGTTATTACTTTTTTTTTTTCAAGGTTTGATTATGTGTTGTAGTGCTGAAGAGCTGTTTGATGAACAAACAGAGCGATTCCCTTTTGCCTCATTAAACTGTGGAAAGCCCACAGGATCTGTTTCCATTGTGCTGGCACATCTACACGCATGGTCCTAATTACCTGTTTCCCTCGTGTGCGCTGACACAGCTGTTATCACTTTGTGCACGAAGCATCCAACAGACCTGGTGAATAATGATGCGTGTGCGCGGGCCTTCTTCTCCAGGTCTTGTCTGCTCCTTAAAAAGAAGACAAGACCAGAAGCTCAATTCTGAGATGAATTGAGTCGAGGATCCAGCGTCTCTTCAAGGACCTTCGTCAAATCTCAGAGGACTGTGCAGACCAAAAGATCTGAGTTTATTGATGCAAGTCTTCAAGGTAACATAACTCCAACTGCCACGTTAGATGGATTATTTATTGTTAAAATATACTGCAGTTTGCATCATTATTCCTCTGGGGAAAAGGATGAAGACGGTGCATTTCCACGGTGTGCCATGTGGTGTAGCTGCAACACCATTTATGAGTGTGAAGACTGACGGTTCAGTTTCGTCTTATTAAAGGGTGTTTTCACATTTATCTGCTTATCGCGGTCAATTGATTTTTCATCCGAGTGGGAGAGATCTGAGTAATGTCTGAGTATTTATTGGTCGTGTTGAGGAGTTATTAAAAAGAGAGCCACCGGCATGGGACCCTATTTACCGCTGTTCGGTCGATTTATAAGGCAGTGCGGATGAATTTTATTCATTCATATAAAATCCTTATGTCCTTTGCGTGTAAAGGCCACTCGTTTCCTGGTCCTCTAATGGCAACGAAAAGTAACTTTTCTTGTAGGCTACCCGTTAAAACATTTTGCAAGTAGCCAAGGATATACATCTAAGTGTGTAATTCCTTCAAGTTCAGAGGCAAACGCTGGACTCTTCTGTTTATTAGATATCTCTAGTTTCTACTTACTTGCTCATCCAAAATTGAATAAATAACTTGTATATTAATGCAGATTATGTTTCTAAAGTGTATCTGAGTACTTCGCCACCGCTGTGTATCGATACTCAACAAGAGAACTACATTTTTACTCCAAAGACAACAGTTTTTGCTCCGTGCCTGTCACATGATTTGGGTCCTCAGAGAGCCCCTCGGGTCACTTGTAGATGAAGATGTGGGCTACACATTTGGACTTCTTGTTGGCCTTACAAATGAAAGGCAGTAGTGTTTCCTGCTGCTGTAACGGTGTCTTGAGTAACAAGGCTGTCTTTATGAGAGGACCTTGAGGGAGGGAGGCGGAGAGCTGGGCGGACCGGCGGACCTGCACGGAGAGAGCGCATCGGGGTCAAGTTGATCACATTAGCTGTCTGACTTCCGCTCATAACCTTCAAAATAAAACTTGTTTAAAAATATATATATAGTCCCCCCCCCCCCCCCCCTCAAAGGTTGTTGCTAGATTTAACCTGCTGTCATTCAGATTATTCAATAATCAGAAAAGTTGTCGGATTTAAAAACCTGAGGCAAGTCAGTAAGATTAATAATTACATGATAGGGAGAAAGCTTTCTGAAGAGTTATATAATAGGGTGGCCAGAAAGGTATACATGGAAAGATGAATGAAAATGTAGACAAAACATTTTTTGTATTATCAG